GCGGCGCTGCCGCGCGGCGCGAAACCTGTCATGGCCGGGGTTTCCTTCGCAGAAATAAACTTTACCTCAGGGTTTGGGTTTTTTTTTCCCCTCAGATGCCAGTGACGCACACGTCTCGGATGTAGCGAGGGCTCTACGGTGCACAGATCTCGCCACTTGCGCAGGAACCTTTTCTTAAAAAGTTGAGATTAGAGGCAGACAAAATCGGTATCTTAACGGTTTTATGGTTTTTGGTAAAGCGTTACTTAATAGGGAGTGACAGAAAAATGAGGTTGGTGTTTGTGGCTGATTTCAGTGTTGTGATGTGAGGACTGAGGTCAAGGGCCTTTGGTGGCCTTATTTGTCCATTGCTGTGGCTGGTTTTAAAAGGCTTTTTTCAAAAGTGGAGTCTTCCTTTGAAAGTTTCAGGCTTTCTGATAAGTCTTTAGAACTACCATTATTAACTTTTTTTAGCTGAAACTCAGCTTCAAAGTTGCATGCTTTTTCTTTGTAATTTTTACTTTGGAGGATTAACAATTTTTTAAATACGGCTGACAGCCAGCCACCCGACAACGTCAGTGCCCACCCAGGCCTCCGGACGTCCTGGTCCGCCCCGGTGATCTGCTGTGCAGAGCTTGCGGCTCTCTTAGTCCCCATACCTGGAGTCTTGAAGGTTTCTGCTAAATCTTTCTGTGCAATTTCTTGGTTGACTGCTCTCCGCTCCTCATTCATAGCTATCCACTTCTCTGCTAGGTGCTCTTTGCAGTGACTGTGCTTTGAGCAGTGTTGCGATGACAAGTATCCAAGTAGCTCTCTTCATGTGATCGAATTGCTGTACCTGGTGTGACCTGTCCCAGCTCTGCTAAGGAAGTTACAGGAGTTCCAGATATCTGGAGAGAATATAGTGTGTAGGCGGGAAATAGGAGGCTTTTTTACTCCCGTTTCTTCATACCTTTTATCCCAAGTTCTAGTGGAAGATCATGGTAAAAATGGGGACAGTGTTTAAAAGAGATGAGGTGGTTTTACTGTTTGAAGCTGAGATATGAATCTTAAATAATGTGATTAATAGCTCTTATGTTAGCTCTGTGGGGTTTTTTTGTCCCCCGTTCCCCGCCCCCCCATAATCATGCAGTCATATAATGGAAGTGTTCTGATTTGATGCATTTAAAATGAATTAATTGAAGCTAGATTCATTGTGGAGGGTTGTATATAGTAACTATCTACTGGTAACTAAGCAGTAGATATTCAAGCTTAAGGCTGTGTGTAAATTTATTTTGAGTCACAATTTGTTACCTTTGATAAAATGGCAATTAATTCCTGTGTGGAGTTGTCCAAATACCTAAAGATTTAGAAAGGGGCCTCTTAACTGAAGTCAGAGGCAAAAAAATCATAGAGAGGATTGAGTGCTGGCTGCAAACACCTGCATATCCTATGGTATTATGAGAAAGCAACTGATGAATATGCAGGGTTTCCCCAGAAGTGTGACCTTCTGATACACTAGTTGGCAGACGTTTTGTAAATCACTGTTGGGGTTTTTTGTGTTGTGTTCCCCTCCCCCCTCCCTTTAATCATGTTCTTAAATTTTAAAGGTCTTGGTTCTTTTCTTTCTGCTGACATATATGCTATATTCTGGAAGTATCATGCTTCCAAATACATGTAGCTTCCAGATGAAATGCAATCTGGAAAACAGAGGTCTTCTGAAAACTGAAGGCCCACTTAAATCAAAAGTGGTCTGCTATCATAGTCATTAAGCTTTATATGAGTCTTTTTGCTGCCTCCGTGATGTATCTTGGAAAACTGCTGTTCTCCTTCCTTCTGCTTTATGTGTGTTGTCTTGGAGATTCATGGATTTCAATCGTATTTCAAATAAGAGCTACTGGATGGTATATGGAGCCTGACATCTCTTTAACAGGTATCGAGTTTATCCATCTCTATGTGAACTCCAAACTGGAGTGCGTTCCCTTGGTTTCTGGTCAGGGAAATAAACTTTAAATTACTTGAGTAGGACAGTGCTGTGTTTTAAATATAGGAAATTTTTTACTCTTCTGGGACTGAAACTGAGATGTAATAAACCATTTTTCAACTAAAATCATCCTGAACATTTATTTGACATGTGGTATCTTTCTGAGCTCTTGATTGGAAAAGAACTTTAGCTGAGCAGCGGTGTATGTGAGGTGTGATTTCCTCCCCCTTCCTCCACCTCAGGACTGATTGCTGCTTTAGTGATTCATGTTAAGTAGTCAGTAATACTGCAGAGAGTTATTTATTTTTAAGGAGGTGGTTATTGCAGGATTAATGAATTAAGATTTTTCTGCTGCAATATGCTCAGTTACAATTTGAAAGTGATACTCTTGTGCTATCACACTAGAGTTCGTAATGTTAATTATTAGTTTCCTAAATTAGATTTATTTCTTCCATAAGCAGGTGGTTACACAATAGGAATATTATGTACTGTGCATGTAAAACGAATTAATTCAACAAGAATACAAGTTATCTTATTTAAAATGTCAACACTGAATTATTTAAAAGAAATATGTATGTGCTAAAAATATTCCGTTTACTGTCTTAAAAGAATAAGATCTGTACTCATAGACTTGCTAACATGTAGTTATAGCTCTGCTGTGTGTTTGGAAGATGTCACTGATTGTATGGGGTGGGAGGGAGCAGAGGTGGGTGCTTTTCCAAGTCATTTAAAACTAGGCAGCAGAATTTACAATGAGAAAGGACTGGAGATCAAAATGGTCTTTAAATAAAGTCGACATTTCCCCTTTCTTAGCAACATTTTTATACACTAGGTGTACTTTATACTGGAATGAATGTCATTAAGATGCAAACATATATAAGGAAAGTAGCAATTTAAGTGTCACTACTTAGAGGATAGAAGGTAGGAAACCAGGACTCTCAATTTTTAAAGGCCGGGTGTCATGTTGCCTTTTATTTTTAAAACAGTAATGGAATTTCATAATCTAAGTGGTATAACAAATTTACTTTGTTATTTCTCGGAACAACTAAAAAAGTTTATCTAATTTTGCCATTGTGGGCGTTCTTGGTTGCTTAATGTGACTTTTATAACATGCTAACATATCATGTTCGACATCTTTTTGGATAAGTGAAACTTTGACTCCTGTTTTCTTCAACATACAGATAAAAAGCCATGCTGATTTTTTTTCCCCAGATTAATTGTAAATTTGGCCTGGTACCAGGAGCTGTGTCTGTGTGCAGTCTGTCAGCAACCAACAGGAGACCAAAATAGGAATAAATCTTAGTGTTTTTAAATAATTGATTCTGAAAACAGATTCAGAGAGTTTTCTTTGTATCCCTAACCATGTATTATACAGAAACTGAAATACTGTATGTCATTGTAGTAAAAGTAATGCCATATTAAAACATTAATTATAAGTCTGCTGTAGCATTTTGGGTCCTACAGACTCGCTTGAGTTTCTGCTCTAGTTTGGAGTGCTTTTTAGAGTTTTGGTTTTGCTATTTTGTTTTCTCATAAACTTAAGGTAAAAGGAAAAATCTGCCTAAACCTAAGTAGGTGTCTAGTTACCATTTTAACTGTATTGGGTTTGCATGGGAAGGTTTTGGTAGTGGGGGGCTGCAGGGGTCACTTCTGTGAGAAGGTGCTAGAAGCTTCCTCTGTGTCCAACAGAGCCAACGCCAGCCGGCTCCAAGATGGATCCGCCGCTGGCCAAGGCTGAGCCCATCAGCGATGGTGGCAGCACCTCTGGGATAACATATTTAAGAAGGGGACAAAAACCTGCACAACTGCAGCCAAAAAGAGGAGTGAGAATATGTGAGAGGAACAACTGTGCAGACACCAAGGTCAGTGAAGAAGGAGGGGGAGGAGGTGCTCCAGGCACCGGAGCAGAGATTCCCCTGCAGCCCCTGGGGAAGACCATGGTGAGGCAGGCTGTCCCCCTGC